CCTTATCCCTCTGTGTATGTGCCCTCTTTACCAAGTGTTAAATCAATAAATGTAGTCAATGCTAATGTAGCGGCAGTTTTTTATTAAATTATTCTGGGCTCTAAAGAACCCCTCACTAAGCATTTAACCATGATCAATAATTGATACAAGCCTTAATAGTCAATTAATTGGTTGATTATTGGCAAATTAATCATCAATAGGAACCAGCTGCCGCTGGATGCCAAACAATGAGAAACTGCCAGACAAGGGCTGCCATTCACTTTTGAAAGTTTGGATGCACAAATGAGAAATTTTCTAAAAAGTTGAAAATGCTGCTGTGACACTTACCCCAGCCCAGAAACCATCCCCTAGAAGAAGGCTGTTGCAGAACACTGTTGTCTTATGGGGAAGGAGCCCTTTTTTTCCAGACTTTAACCCTACAGGCCACTCAGGAGAATGACAGCTGTGATCAGCCATGACTAATGGAGTAGAATAGATGCTATCTCCCTTCCTCTCCCCTAAGTTAGGAGAGAGCTCCAAGGCCATCATCATGATAACACAAAAGTACAGTTTGAGGAAATGGGCATGTGATGCCATTTATGCTTCCTCTTAATATTATTCCCACTGCCACGGGTGAAAATAAAAATTCTTACAGGTACTGTCCTATCACAACCTGAGTGCCTGCCAGCTCTTCAAACAACTTCCTGCCAGCTGGCTTATGCTGGAGCTGCACATCAGGGCACACTCCCTTACCTTGACCTCTGCCCACTGCTGTTAAGCCACCAGGTTACCTACCACTACTCCAGGAACACTCTGCTCTAGCTGTGCCCATGCCCAGGGCTCAGCCAGGTTACACTTCCAAGAAGAATCCGATAGACCTATCTGTCCCAGTGCGCCTAGCAACTCAGACAACCAGCTCTCCATTCAGACCTTCCCAGGGCCCAATCCACTGTGTCACCTGTCACAGGGAGAAACTGTCCATGGAAACAGGCTAATCAAAGCAAGCTCTACTGCCAAACAATGCGTGACTTATCAGTGATGAGCCACTTGATAAAAGCTGCAAACACTGAGACTTGGATGGAGGATGCTGCAAGCCCTGTGGTAACCCCTCTCCCCCTGAATACTTGGTACACCCCAGACACAGGCAGGCAGCACTGCATTCATCATCTCTGCAAATATCGAATCCAAGAGAGGTGCCTCAAGTAAGGCAAGTTCAAGTGTCTGACACCCCGTCAGCAGCTCTGCGGGCCCCTTGGCAGTCTGTTATTTCTTGTGGTTCAGACCTCTGGTCAGGACAACCTCACTCCTTGCAGGCCAAACAAAACCCCAAACTCTTCAGGACGATGTTCCAAGCCTTCGGCCTTGGTGGGGCTCAACAGTTCTTGCCCCATACCACCCTAAGGTGTACATCATCCTCCTGCCAGGGCGAAGGCAGGCTGGTAGTGGGGGAATTCAGGCCCACCCTCTTCACTAGGTTCCAGCCTTTGTGAACAGCATCTAGGCTCTGTTTCTTATGATCCCTTGCTGGTTCCCTGGCTCCTCCCTGCCTTTGAATGTTTGCAGGCATCTGCCATGGAGTGGCACTCCGAGGGTGCGTCTACACAGCACCAGAAACTCAAAATAAGCTACACGATTCACGCTATGCAAATTGCATAGCTTATTTCGAGTTTATTTCATCATTTGGCACTGTCTACACAGCACCAAATTTTGAAATCCTGCACTATTTCGAGCCATGCCTTACTCTTTGTACAATGAGGTTTACAGAGAGGGTGAAATAGCACGTGCACTATATTTTGAAATAGTGGGTGTGTTCAAAAGACACGGGGTAGCTATTTAGGGGTACCTCTGGTATCCCAAAATAACTTTGCTGTGTAGACATACCCTAGTGATCCTGCAGGTCTGTTATAGAAACTGTCCAATCTGGTTCTCCCAAGATCTAATCCTCAACTAACTGTCTCCCTGCAGGTACCATTGGGGTCTCCAGCTCCTTTTAACCTTGTCACTGCCTAGGCCAGGTTTATACATCTCAGCCAGAAAGCACCACCCCCTCCTCCCTCTTGCTCTCACTGATCTCCATGGCTTTTGAACTCCCTCAGCCAGATGAAGACAGAAGGGCAGAAGCTTGAGTATCAGTGGTGGTGGGGCAGGCAGGGGGAGAGAGAGGGAGGAAGAGGATGATACTGACAGGATGAAACATGACTAATTCCACAAAGTCTATGCTGAGGTGGCATTACAGCCAAGAGAATATTCCTATCAGCCTCCCCTGAAGCTGCCAAATCCCAGCCCAAGGATACAGCTGCCTCCTTCACTTTCCTTTCACTGGATGTTTTCATGGTGAAGGTCAGTATCCACCTCATTCAGGCAACCTTTCAAACACTGGGCGTGCTGATAAACAACCAGAAGTCAACCCTCATGCCAGTGGAGAGGATAGAGTTTATCGGCGTGGTGCTTGATTCTATCCAGGCCAGGTCCCTTCCTCCCAAAAGTCCTCTTTTAGATGATGTCACTGATAGCATGTATCAAGGCCCAACATCATGACAGCCCATTTCAACTCACATGGCCACATGCATGTATGCTGCTCAGCATGCAAAACTGACTCACATCCTTTCAAGATTGTTTGGCACTCACTGAGTTGCTATCATTTCAACTCAGTGCTTACAATGCCCGCTCCAGTCCCTGACTGCTGGAGGGATTCTCCATTGGTGGGCTCAGTGTTCCCTTTACCACGCTCCAGCACTCAATATTCCCAGTCTCAGATGCTTTGAACCTAGCCTTCGATCAGCCAGTCATCAAGCTATGGGTAAACTTGTACTCATCTTCTCAGGAGGGCTGCTGCTACTGCAATGTATTTCATACATATCCATGAAGCTGCTGACAGGCCAAATAGGAAAACAGTAAACTGGCAGTGGATCTATTTATGACAAACCTGAAAAACATTCTGTGGTCTCAGAAAACTGGGATATAGAAATAGGCCTCTACCAAATTGAGGGAATTCCTGGAATCCAGGGAGGGAATAATGGAGCCTAGGGAGACCCTGCAGAACCTCAGCTTTTTGACATAGCTGTTGAGGCAGTGAAGGTATAAAATACGTTAGAAACCAGGGGTTAGGAAATAATACAAGTCAAATCCCTTTCCTCAAGTCCTGAGGAACCTCCTATTCAGCTCCTATCTGGATGAGGGCTTGCACCTCTTAAACTAACAGTTGCTTGTGAGAGGGGTCCCAGAAGAGGGACTAGGGAGATGGGAGGCAAGGTGGAAGAAACATGAGGGTTTGTGGTGGTGCACGATAATGCCAAGCTGAAGTGGGACAAATGGTTTGAAAATAGGGGACTGGATCTTGTGTGGGACCTCGTATAATGTCGTCAGGTGCACTATTGAAAGTTCTGTTTGAAGCCCCCCAAGTATCTGGAAGGTAGATGATGGGGAAGTAGGTAGTTGCCTGTGCCTAAAGACTTTCTGTGCAGGTCATGACAGGGCAGCAGAGAAGTGTGTGTCTGAAATGTTTCCTCATAAGGTTCTGGAACATAGTGACCCAGCGACTTGAGGATGAATCTGGAGTTCTTCAGGCCATAGAGCTTTTGTATCTGCTTGCTTTGAGACATGTGAGGAGCCTCCATATGGGAGGTCCTGAAGGGATTGTTGCACCTCTGCAAGTAAGCCAGAGGACTGAAGCTAAGAGCACCTTTGCATGGCCACTGCAGGCACCACAGATCTGGCTACTGCAGCCTCAGTATCCAGAGTGGTTTACAAAAAGCCTTCGCTATTGCCTTTCCCTCTTCCACAACAGTGGAGAACTCCTGCCTGGACTCCTGAGGAAGAAAGTCCTTTAATTGTGACATGGCATCCCAGACATTATAGTTTGTATCTCCCTAGCACTGCCTATTGGTTCTGCCAAAGGGGTCTAGTCATTTGAGTCTTTTGCCTTGGGGCTGTACCTCTTGCAACTCCTGCTTGTCCCTTTCATTGGCTGCTGACACCATCAGACACCCCGGAAGGTGGCAGTACAGGCAACTCAACCTTTGTCCCTGCCAAAGTATTTATTTTCTGCCCTCTTCAGAGCGAGGAGTTGAGAGGATGGGATTTGCCAAAGCTTGTTAACTGGACCTATAATGGCCTCACAGAGGGAGAACCACCTCTGATGGAGCCACTATGGCCAAAATATTTAGACTGTGGGAGGACTTTTACCACCTTAACTTTCAAACCTAGATGTGAGGTCACCTTCTTCAATAGGCCCAATGAACTTTTAAGTCAATGGGTGGGGAGAGGAGTGGTGATGCAGCAGGACTCTGGGCAGGAGGTGGCAGTGGCTTGCACCACTAGGGGTTCCTCCTCTTCTTCCTCTGCACTGTGCATATTCCCCAGGATAGGTCCTAAAAGTCAGTATGGGGCTTGGTACTGGAGTCTGAGTCTGGTGCTGCTTGGAAAGAGGAGTCTCTCTCTAAGACATCACTGAGTACGTGTCTGGGGCGGAGGTTAGAACTAGGGGGAAACCTTATAGGTTCCAGAATGGCCATTGCATTTTCATAGACCAATGTCCACTGGGCCAGCCTTGCAGAAGCACCCCCATACTGGAAACCCTCCCCCCTCCAAATAGGACCTAGGGGGTGTACTGTTAGGGATTCCTTGGGTTGGTGCATCACTATACCTCTGTGCTGACCACAACCCTTACTACAGGGGCCATAGTGGAGATGCGGTACTCCTCTATTCCAGAGGTTAGTGCAAAGGGTCATGGGATTGGTGCCACAGTGAGGAAGGCTGTGTTGGTACTAGCAGGGACAGTTTCCCTCAGGGAAACATGCTCCCTTCTGCTCTCTGGCACAAGTGACACCACCTCTTGGACTGCCAGTGAGGGCAGTGCTAACAGTGCCAAAAGTCTCTGGCTGCAATTAATGCCTGTGGAGTGGGTGGCACCATTATCTCACTGGTTCCATCAGTGCTGATCTGGGACCGGACTCAATGGAGGCTGCGAACAAGATGCAATTGACAGAACAGCCTGCTGAGTGTGGGGCAAATGAGTGATCACACTCAGGTAGTACCCTGCTACATGCCCTGGGGAGTGGTCTTTTTAGAGCTGGAGGACATGCTGGGCAGTGGCTTCTTGTGTTTCACAGTGCTAAGTTCCTTACAGTGACTGAAGCATTTTGTACCGCCACTGAGAGCAGTGAGTATAGCTTGCCAAAGCAAGAGAAGCAGTTCCAGTAACCTTCACAAGTGGAAAGGAGGAACTGAGAGGGTGCAGGATCTGGCAGACTGGACTTCTTATATTGTGCCATAAGCATAAGGCACCAGAGGGTGCTATAATCAGATAGGTACCATTGAAGGGAAATTTCCAAAGATTGTGGACAAGGTGCACATATACTTAGTATGGAACAGACATGTGGAAGCAATCAAAGAGGAATCATTCTAATAACAAAGATTTAACCATAGCAACATGCTAGCCAAATCTCCTTTCCCCTAGTCACACACTGGACTCTAAAGGCTGTGGGGAGGGATGGCACAGTGCTCTAAAGCAGGCTTTACAACACACATGCTTTTCCCTTGGCTAGTGAAATCTCTATGTGGCTACTTGAGCCAACTTTATGGAGCTTTTGAGTAGCTCAAAGATACGCCGGGCTGCACCAAGGTAACTTAGGAGAGCGTTTGGCCAACAGAACAGTTAGTAGAGATGATGGGAGAAGGAAAGGATCTGCCCACAGGTTTCAGATCCTAGAAGTTTGTGACAAGAACAGTTAGATAACAGTTCTTACAGCTTAGAATGAACAATTTTGCTTTAAAACTTTTGAAATTCAACATTTACAGAATGCATGTAAAGAGTAGAACTGCAGTTAAAACACTCAGGGTCCAAACAGAGTTAGTCACATTCTACTAACTCCATCCGTGTTTCTAAATGAAAAAATGCATTTAAAGCTAACAATATTCAATATTTCC